AAGATCAGGATTGTGCGCCCTTCTGTTAGCCATTCAGGGTGGTTACCATCTCTGCCATGCGTTCATGTATTGCCGTGAGTTTCTTAAGCCATTAGGCATGTATCATATTGAGGCCTGGTGCCGTCCAGTTCTTCATACCTGAGACTCTTTCTTGGATGTCTGCCACTGTGATGGTGACTGGATTCTGTTTAGGGAGGTTGCTGAGGACTCTCTCAGAGCCACCAACCACTGTGCATCACTGTTGTATTCTGCCTCCTTCTCCCATATGGCTTTCCAATACTGTTCAGTTTCCAGCTTTGGTGGGGCTGTTCTACTATTGCTCCCCACCCACTGAGCATACACTTTCGCTGGTTGAGTTGCGAACAGCCCGTTTACCTGTCTTGCTTAATTATCTCTTGTGTACCTCTTTAGGTGGCTGGCCAAGGCTTGGGGCCTTTGTTTGGCAGTTTCTAGTGCTTCAGGTATGGGCATTTGGGTGTACCTATTGGGTACTTGCTTATTCATTGCACCATTTAGGGCCTTTGTCAATTGACTCACCTCTCTCCCTGTTGCCATGACACACATTTTTACTTGAAAGTAAAACACTTGACATCATGGACAAACAAAATGGACTGAAAACCTGATCTTGGACACAAGAGGAGTAAAAAAAAAAAAAAAAACAACCCATAATATATTAGAAGTAACAAAATAACTAGCTGAGGATCTCTATTACTTGTGTCATCCTCTAACTTAAAAAATGTAGGAGTAATTTTTGTTACATTAATTTTTATTTCTGTGTAAAATTCAGGGTCATGGATTTTTATGTTAGCCCCAGAGATTACAGTTTCTCTGCACGTAATGATGTGTTTTCTGTGCATTTGACATTGCAGTGACTCATTTTGAATGTCATCCGTCGCTATAGGCATGCTTGGTGTGAGGGATTGCCTTCGAGTCAATGAGTCAAACTGGTTTTCCTTAGATAGAAATCTTTTAATCAATTTGTCTGTATGATCTGGTTGAAAGGTCTCTGTGAAGTGCCTTGAGATGACATGACGTGTTGTGACTTGGCACTATATAAATAAACTGAATTGAATTTGTAGCAGATCTTGCTGACGCATTCTGTACTATAATGGAAACATGAATTCAGCTATCTATTTTTTTTTCTCTTCCTGAAACGGTAAAATGAAACTAAAACTTTCATTATTAAGGAGCTTTTCTGATTTTAGGTGCTGCATGTAAGACCGTACGTATGTATGCTTTAATACCTCCTGTATGTTTTAACTGTAAATTACATTTCAGGCGGTAACTGTCTCTACTTATAATCTACCTCTATTTATGCCTGAAAACAATTAATTGTTAAGGCATGATGTGCTTTTGTATTAAACCTACCGTTTTAATAACCACTATTTTTGCTTTCCATTTATATTAATAGCAAATGAGACTACATCTTTTACATACTTTTTCCTTTTTCAAGGTAGCATAAAGAGGCATTACAGAGTTCTCTAATACGGCCACCTGTGGCCGTATTCAGGTATTGTCTTATAGTTAGTCTTTCTGTTAAGGAATGGCATCTTAGAAACTTTGGAGAAACTGCCCAAAAGGTTCCTCTTCTAAAGTTGATTGAGTTAGGCTGTCTATATTCAGATTCTGCATTCATGCAAATATCAAAACATGTCAGCTCTTCTAGAAATATGTTACGCAGTTTTACTTTAAAACAATGAGTTCATGAAACGCGGTGTTGTCACATTGTAAAAAATTTTAATATGGATGTTGCCTCAATTCTTTCCAGTGTAACTCCTGTTACTTTCTTTGTAGCGACCTCTACTGTTTAGATGGAAAACTGCAGGAAACACGTTGTTTATCAGGTGCTGATAACAAATTTATCTGTGGTCACATTACTCCACGGTCAGTTTTAGTATACTCTTATTATGCAAAGCCTCCAGAGAGGATTATATATTTAGCTGCTTAGGATAACATGCACTAATTTTCATCTAAACACGTTTCTTTAAAAGATATATTGTGAAAGTCAGTGTGAGTGAGGACCTAAAGGTTTCCAATTAAACCCCATATTGCTGCAGGTCCCAAAAGACAAGATGCTCTTTTTTGATGAAGAGAAAGGTGCTCTATCTATCTATCTATCTATCTATCTATCTATCTATCTATCTATCTATCTATCTATCTATCTATCTATCTATCTATCTATCTATCTATCTATCTATCTATCTATCTATCTATCTATCTATCTATCTATCTATCTATCTATCTATCTATCTATCTATCTATCTATCTATCTATCTATCTATCTATCTATCTATCTATCTATCTATCTATCTATCTATCTATCTATCTATCTATCTATCTATCTATCTATCTATCTATCTATCTATCTATCTATCTATCTATCTATCTATCTATCTATCTATCTATCTATCTATCTATCTATCTATCTATCTATCTATCTATCTATCTATCTATCTATCTATCTATCTATCTATCTATCTATCTATCTATCTATCTATCTATCTATCTATCTATCTATCTATCTATCTATCTATCTATTTTCTTGTAGCTTTTTTTTTCACCTTTTCAGTTGTGTCTGAGTTGAGCTGGATGCCTGACACTTCTGAATAGCCACAAAATCTATCTTTAATATAATGCTTAGATTTTTTGCTAGATTGGACTTTTTAACGTGGGCGCGCTTGACGTCACATCTGCTGAACGGCGCGGGAACATCCAAGTCGAGGTAAATTATGGAAAACAGGCTACAGGTTTATAGATGCATCAGTGCAGAACTAGGGAGATGTCAGTCTGATCATCAAACAGTGTTTTAGTTGTGAAGGGTCAAATTAAAACGCTATTATAAAGATATTTTTTTTAGTAAAAACTTACATGTCTCTTTAATAGTGTCTCTTTCATAATGTCTCTTTCATAGATTAATTCTTTTCACTAATAAGGAGCTTGGAAAAATAACTTTTACACATTGTTTTTTAAAACCCTTTCCCACAACAAAAATGACTACATGTTTTTGTTGTATTAGATTATTGTTTATTAGGCAAGTCAGTTTGTGTGTTTTTCTTATGTCATTGTAAATCCTACATATTTACAGACCATAAGTATTCTTAATTGTGGATTCTGGCCAACATGACAAGTTTCTGTACCAACGGTTTAGGGAAACCAACATAATGATGTGGATCTTCCCTTGAGCCTGCCTTACCCAGGTTTCATTACATTCTTCTTAAACACAGACTGAAATTTCAAGAAGTTGTTGTTAATCGAGCAACTTATATAAGATTACAGTTTAAAAAAAGCTTAGAGGCTTCCAGTATTTTTAAAGTTAAATTGGAGGACTTACACCAACTTGTGACAGAATAGTTACACATACATTTTTTTTAGGTGAACTATTTTATTCACCTGCATACCCGCAGTATCACATCTTCACTTCTGAGAGTGTCAGTAAGACAGCTGTAAATCTTTTAACATTTTATCTGGCAGGATAATACAACATTCTGAGTCTAAATAACATTTAGAAATATCTTAAAGCAAGTAAAATGGGTATTGTTTCTTAAACTGTTTAGTTTTTGTAACAATAATTTCTGTTTACAAGTTTAGTCAAATTTTAACTTAAATTCGTTCCATTGAAAAAATGCTACTCTATATATCAAGTTATGTTCATTGAGATTTCAAATGGCCTGTACTTATAGTACTAAAAAAAAAAAAGTGGCGCCGTACACTGCCGCCGTCTGACTACCATCAGTAGGCAATGCAGGTGAATTGTCTTGCCCAAGGGCACAACGACACTGAAAGCCAGAGATGGGACTTGAACTGTCAACCCTTCAATTTCAGGGAAAACTCCTACAGCCATAATTAATCCAGAGAATTAACATACAAATAAAGTTACACGTGTAGGTTACAGAAAGAAAAATTACCAAGGATCCATCAATTAGCTGATAATATAAGGTCCACGCTGAACAAGACTTACATAAATACAGACGTCACTGAATTACATCACAGTTCATCATCTGTGCTGCCGGCTTTGTGTGGCTGTGTGTAGGGTATGTGTGAGTGAGTGTAAACACCAAATTAGTGCTTCGTCACTATGCTGCTTCACTTCCCTACAGCACATTCACAAATGAACATTGTGCCCTGCAGAGTCCTCTCACATTTTCTGTCTGTATCTGATAAAGACCATTTGTTAAAAACACCTCTATCCCAGCCACAGTAACCACATAGGGTCTCATTGTAGAGTTGGAGGAAATTTGAGGTTTGAAGGAGCACTGATCTACATGAAGGGAAATTTATTGATTGACCTAAGTTGTGTCCCACCAGAAGTTACATTTCAGATATCATGTTCAGGTATTGTCTTGTAGTTAGTCTTTCTGTTAAGGAATGGCATCTTAGAAACTTTGGAGAAACTGCCCAAAAGGTTCCTCTTCTAAAGTTGATTGAGTTAGGCTGTCTATATTCAGATTCTGCATTCATGCAAATATCAAAACATGTCAGCTCTTCTAGAAATATGTTACGCAGTTTTACTTTAAAACAATGAGTTCATGAAACGCGGTGTTGTCACATTGTAAAAAATGTTAATATGGATGTTGCCTCAATTCTTTCCAGTGTAACTCCTGTTACTTTCTTTGTAGCGACCTCTACTGTTTAGATGGAAAACTGCAGGAAACACGTTGTTTATCAGGTGCTGATAACAAATTTATCTGTGGTCACATTACTCCACGGTCCGTTTTAGTATACTCTTATTATGCAAAGCCTCCAGAGAGGATAATACATCCAGCTGCTTAGGATAACCTGCACTAATGTTCATCTAAACACGTTTCTTTCAAAGATATATTGTGAAAGTCAATGTGAGTGAGGACCTAAAGGTTTCCAATTAAACCCCATCCCTGACTCTCACCGCCGCAGGTCCCAAAAGACAAGATGCTCTTTTTTTGATGAAGAGAAAGGTGCTCCCTCTCTTTGATTCGCTTCCCTCCCTCTCTCCCGCGTCCTATAAAGCCGCAACAGCTGATCTCGGGCATCAGAAAGAGCTGCAGCTCCACAGAGGAGACAAACGGAAGGAGAAAGGAGGGCAGAGAGAAAGGAGAGCAACCCGATAGTCTGCTCTAGTCTTCCAGCAATAAAAAAAAACAATAGTTTACAAGAAGATGAGATGCCATCTGAGAGGTTAAAATCCTGCGCAGGTTTTGAGACGTTTTTTGGACTCCACGGTTTTCTTTGAGAAACATTTTAATTCCTCCCTTTACCACTCCGAAAACAGTCCCAACTCGCTGCTTGCTATATTTTATTCATTTTGCTTTTTGAGAGACATATCACTTATTCATTTGCACGTATTTTGGATTTTCAGCTTGTGTTTCTTGCATCCAAATCCACTTTGTAAACGCCAAACTGCTGGTCTGCTGGAGCGGATCGGACAGCGGTGGCTGGCTGCGCAGAGGAGCTGTCCGGTGCTGAAACCTGCAGGACACAGGAACTGTTTGATGAGTAAGACGTTAGAAAACGACTATTTAACGTGAACTAACAGGAGAAACCGACAATTGTAATGGAGAAAACACCCAGGAAACGATTTATATTTCTATTCTAGATACATTAGAGCTCCACAGGTCTTCCAGATTCAATTTTTAACTATTACACGTATCTGCTACTGAAAACCAAGAGTACAGGATAAATACCTGGTTTGGGTTTTTTTAAGAGCATTTTTTTGACTGCATAGGAAGCCAAACTATTATAAAAAAAAAAATCCGCTTATTTCCATCACTGGGTTCAGACGTAGGTCTGGAAAAAGAAGACAAGCGTTTATTAATCGTATGAGTGCAGCAGCAGTGACTGTCCCACCATGCCTCGATCTTTCTTGGTGAAGAAAGTCAAACTGGATGACTTCTCGGCTGCTGAGCTGGAAAGCTCCTACAGTCACAGCCGAAGAGAGGAGCTCAGTCTACGATTCCATCACCATGACAAAGGTTAGTCACACACTTGAATATATAGAAACACGTCCACAGGGGTCATTTAGTGTTTTCATCCAACCATAAAAAAAGCTATAAGGGATTTATAGTGAGGAAGGAAAAACTGATGACAGGGTTGAACCTGCATCAAATAACAAAGATATACATGCTGCACGTCATCCAGTCAAAGGAATGCAAACTTTTCATATAAAATCAATATAATAAAGATCAGGAGAAGATGAGGACATATATTTAAGGATTATCAACGAGATAAAGCATGTTAACCTTGCTAAGGACAGAATTTTTAAAATATGACCTTAGAAAGACGTAATTGGAAAATGCTCCAGCTTTCCGTGATGATTTCCTGGAAATATTTTTAAATGTGCACAAAAAAATGCACACCTAACATCAGCAGACAGGAAAAAAAGTTGCATGCAAGCAAAACTAAGTGTATTCCAGGTGGTTGATCTTTGATGTGAATAATTTTCTAGGTCGCTGCACCAGCATCACATTAGTTTATCTGTAACATTCAGACTTCAGACCCCCCCGCCCCCGAAAAAAATAAATAAATATATAAATATCTGAAGGGTCAGGTTCAGGTCCAGCTCTTATGCAGAAATGTATAATGTAATTGTTCAAATAAGAATCAAATTCAGATCCATGTATTAGTTTGGTCCTAACTGATAAGGTATTGAAAATGATTTAATGCAATTGACTGACCTGCTTTAAATGGATACATATTCCCCACTGATCAGTATAATCTGTATTAGAATGTGTGTGTTGCATTGAGGATTTAACTTGACCATGGATCATTCGATCAATTCAGTTTATGTGAACATTATTGGTATCTATTTTATGTAAATGAACTGGGGCTTTTTTCTTGCAAAGTGAATTGAAATCCCAGCTCTTGTGAACTGGCTTATCTAAGCAAGCTCAGCCAACTGCATATAGTTAAGACTTTGCAGCAATTCCTTCTTGTGAGCAATTTTGCAACATTTGAGAGAAGTAATGGCCTTTAAAAAATACACATTTAGAAATTTTCTACATTTAAATGTTTTTCCTATAAGAAAGTGCCTCATTGTCTACAGAAGCATAAGCAATAAATGCCTACTTGAGTGCTTAAAATTTTACAGGACGAAAGAAAAAATATGCAAATTCTGAAGAGGTGATACCAACACGTTGTTCTTTTTTCATCCGTAAATGTAATCAATAAGCCCCTAAAAAAGCAGTTTAGTTTGAAATTGTTTGAGGATAGTACAAGTCTATTTGGAAAGTCTCATCTGCTTATATAAATACAAAAAAGAAGCTAAACAGGTTGTAAGATTTCATCACTAATGACCTTTCTACAGAACACCATATAAAAAATGAACTAAAAACTAAAACAACTTTAAAACAAAAACCTACTTCTGTCTGAGGTCCCGCTGTAATCATAGACTCCTCTGATCTGTAGGGTAAATTAAGGAGGATATCTTCAGTTTATCTAACCTATACAGGAACAATACAAGATGCAGGAACAATGCAAGAAAGCATAAATATTTATGTCAAACAATCTTGTAGTTAATAGCTGTGGGGAAATCCTGACTTTCTGTTACCTTGAATGTTCCTTAAATCAATGTCACCCAGTAACTGGAAGTTTTTCCCCAAATTTCAGTTTTTGTTATTCCCATCTATAATTACACACACAATTCTGACATGTGCAATGCAGTGATTGAACTGGCACAATGTAATCATATTAATGCTAGTTGTAGCAAAAGTAAAGTATAAGCAATTATTAGATTAAGTTAATCCTATGCATATACTGTACTGCAACAGCAGAATGCTGAAAATAAAAAAAAGAAAATTAAACATTCATATAAAAAAGAAGGCTCATTGTTAATTCCTAATTAATAGAGCTTAAAATGGAAAACAAATATTTTTCCAAACACAGAAAACTGTTTATGATTTCTTTGCTTGATTTCAAGTTGACAGATTTATGAACTAAGATGTTAGATAAATTCTAATTATGGACAATAATATAAATTCTTAGCTAACATCCAACATATAAGAAGTAGTTAAAAAAGGCATTGTGATACACAGAAATTACTTGGACCATCTTTTGTGCTGGAGCCCTCTGCTGATTTATTATGTCAGTGAGCAGGCAGCTGTTTTCAGCACACAAGGTCTGATAAGCAGCACCATATGTCAAACTGAGAACGGATTGGCCAGATAGAAAGAAAACACTAGTGAATGAACAAATGAGTCTGCACTGGGATGAAAATAACAGCTAATCAGTTAAAGGGTAGTATTATGCATTAGTTTTGTGCTTGTCAGCTCCTTTCTGCCCTCTAGTGGGCAAATCACAGCAGTTTGAAAGGGCTGACAGGGTTTTGTTCCACCACCAGCATGTAATTGTGCTCGTGCTGCCTGGTTAGGTTCACATTGTAGCAAGGTCAAACCTAAGAAGAAGACATGCCATTTGCTCAGATGGCAAACCAGAAAGCACAAACTTGCAGCAGTGGCAGCAACAACAGAACCTGTGTGGCCAGCATGTAAAAACTGTGGAAATGATCCACTGTTATAAATATAACAAGAGTTTGAGTGAAACAACTGCAGCTTGTTGCGCTTATACAAGCACACACTGGCATTGCTGTGTTTCTGTCAACTCGGCACATTTCCCAGCCAGCTTGCACAGCTGAGTGCACAGCATCACACTCAAACACATATGCACACACACACACACACACCGTGACCTACAAGTGTCCAAAGCACACAAGTGTGCATCAGTCGCTGTTGGTTTGAATCAAAAATTCAACCGTGGTTTGCAGCTTTCTCTCTTTTCTCCTTTTCCCACTCTTCTTTCTCATTCAAAGTCATTGCATTTCAAACATACATGTGATATTAAATGCTTATCTTTGCCTGGGAATTTAATCTTTAATAAGCATTTTAAACAGCTTTCAGCAAATGTACTAACATAAATGCAGAGCAGAGACACATGAAGATAAAGAATTAGAGCCAGACCTCTGACACTGGGGGAGAAAAAGGACCAGTTAATTTTTTTTGTCTAAAATAATATATAAGCTATATTTACAATGATTGTTAAAACATGACACTGGGTCATGCAAACCCAAAATCTGACATTCAATGAAGTCTGTCAAGTGACTACCACAATATCCGGTTGGTTTGCCATTACCATGCGGTCTGTCTGTATCTGGAAGTCCCACAGGATCTTGGCTCGGTCATCTCTATCATCTCTGGAGGTGTTTCCCACTTTGACCTTGGGGTTTTCAGCCCATATTCTGCACAGATATTCCTGTACACTATTCAAGCCACTTGGTTATGGTGCTCCATGTAAGCTTTCCCTTCTAGCATCACACACACTGCAGTTATTTGCTGGATTGTCTCAGGGGCGTCTTTGCACCTGTGGTCTTGTCTGGTCTGGTAGCACACTACTATATGCCTTAATATGGTTAGCAAGAATTACTTTTTAAGAATTAGCCTTTTAATATTAGTTTATGAACTTCAATATGCTAATGTTAACATTTGTGTATTGAAAGAAATCTGAATATCCACCGGTTGATTCGCAACTACATTTAGAGGAAGTTTGTTAGGATAGCCAGCAGTCAGAATGTACAATAACTAGCTAAGTGCAATTGCAGTGACCATTTTTGAAATTTGGCTCTACCCTCTCCTTTCTGGACTTATATGCTGTGTACATGGTGTAAGTCCATCTGTCTGGTTAGGTCTGTTGTATTTTTTGCCTAAGCTATAGGAACAGGACAATGTAAAAAAAAAAAAAAAGGAGAAGAAAAAAATCAGACTTTAGGCCAATCTCCCTTTAGTGGAGCTACTGAAATGTTACAAGTTCAAGGCTGTGGTTGTGCAGGGAAGATCAGGAGCTTTTCTTAGACTAAATACCTGATCAAATAAAGCTCAAAAGCTATTTTTAATACTTTATAAAACAGGAAACAGTGACACACATACACACACGCATACACACAAAATGCTGTAAGAGTGCAGTAATAGAATATTTATGAATCACGATTTTCCGCCTTTCTACCACACCTCGCCACTCTTCTCTATTGTCCTGCTCTCTCTCTTTTTAAAAATCTGTCTTAATTAAATTTTAAACGTTAAATTAGAATCAGAGCAGAGTACAACCCTGTCATAAAAAAACACCACGACTTCTTTCTTTCTCTCTCTCTCTTTTTCTCTCTTTTATTTCTTATTATCGATCAACATTTGAGCTTTTCTCAGAACTGCATCATGAAATTATATTACCAGCAACAGTATCTCCTCTGCTGTCTGTGTCTTAATGCCCACAGAGTGCTAATTGAAATGGAGAGCTATTGATCGGTAGATCCACAGGAGTTGTGGCTGTGGGTTATTAGCTACCAGTCTCTTTTTGCGTCTGTTGGAGTTCAGCCTGTTGAGCAGCCAATAATAGAAATAATGAAGCAGCCAACATCAAAACTCACTAAGAAATCATTGATCTGATTTGTCAGGAGCTGGGCAGAAAAATGCTGGGCTAGGCCCGAGAAATCTGTGAATCTCGAGGCAGATTTGCTTACAGTTTAGCTTGGGAGGGAGATTGTCAGTCTTAGTGTGCGCACTGAGCACTAGACCTCCCATCTGCTGTAATAGAGATGGTCTATGTTACAACAGCCAAAGTTCTGACAGCCCCAGGGTGTGACGGTGTGTGGCGATGGACTTGTCAGGAAAGGTGCAGCTGATGAGGAGCAAGTGTGCTCACTGAACCTTCTACAGAGAAATGAAAGTTCCTACTCACTACTGTAGACATTTTTTTTTTCATAAAAGCAGTTTACTCTCTTTATACATACCTCATGGTTTTCTTTCTAGTTTCCACCTAAAAGGAAGGCACAAAAGAAGACAAAATACGTTCTAAAAGCAAAACTCTGTGTTGATAATCTTATCCTACAGTTGATCCTCAACTGGCAACAGAATCACCAGGTCTTGAAAGTCTCTGTGCAGAACCGTAGTCTAGGTAGCTTCTTCCAGGACTTAGAAGATCCAGGTTAAGTTGGCCTACCAAACAGGAACTTTGAACCACTTTAACATTTACATCCCAAACAATGCCTTTAGCATCTGGCCTAACACTCACAACCTGTCCTAGTTTGAATTGACCCCTCATTGCGTTTTGCTCAAATAACCAAACAAAAGCTCTGAATGCAATGTTTCATTGCGAGTTGTGCCACTTGCTTTTTATATAATAACTTAGCCAGCTGGCTCCAAGATCTCCAGAACTTGTTAACTTGTTTCTGCTTCTCTCTAAGTCCTTTGTAGAAATAGCTTGCAAAGTCAAATGTATTGATTCTTTTCACTACATGTTCCACTCTCTGAAGCTATGAATTCTGCCACCACAGACTAGTAATCCTGTTTTTGGTTCTCAGTACACAACCAAACAGTTTATGCTTCAAACTTTCTACTTTTTGACCTCTAGAGACAGCTACACAGACCTTTTTTGCATTCTACCAATGCTTTGAGCTGCTGTAGATACATCTTTAGGTGACTAAATTCATGGAAACGTAGGAACTCTGGTCCTGCTGGCCTTACACTGAAGCATAATCAAGTTATTTTCGCCCAGCTCCTCGTGAGATGATGTCTGCCATGTTGAGCAATCTGAAGTTTTCCAATCCTGTTGGAAAAGAAAGTTTAAAACCCATAGTTCTCATGTTGGATAGGTCCAAGAATTGTTTGGCTGTCAAGCAAATAATACCATTGCTTTATCTTGACCTGACAGTGCTGCTCATAGACTTTTTAAAGCAACTAGCGAAAACCTCATTACAAAGCTCTGCATGTCCTTTCCGATCTATGGGTCAGTTTTGCATTTGACTCCATTATTCGAATTGTTATTAGGTTGCAGTAGGTCCTTCGAAGGTATAGGTCTGCCCCATGAGTTCTCACTACCATCTAAGCAGGTGACTGGAACAGGTTCAGTTGTAACACCTGGAGTAGTAAAAGCTCCTGAAAACGTGATTTTACCTAGTCGGACACAATCTTAAAATAGATCTGCTGCCTCTCAGCAGAGTTGCAGGCATGGCAAGAACTCACTTATCCTCGATTATGTTGTTCTTTGGTTGTGCTTCTTGGAATGCTCTTCAAACAAGAATAACTCCGCTTTGCTTCTCTGGTGTTGCTAGTCCCATTGGATCATATAACCCAGCAACTTTACTCAATACTTCACGTCCAGTCCATTAATCTGGTGTCTGTGTTCTTAATTCTTCAGGCATCAAATGTGTACCAAGTTTAATTTTTTCTTGTGCTTGGAGATGTTGATTCTCACCATGACCTGCAACTTGTCTTCATCTATGATTTGCCAAGGACAAGAGCCTTGTATTCCTCTTTGCGGATTTGGTAGGACAAACATTTTTGTGTTGTATGCCGACAGTAAAATCTCAATGCTTTTGCGGCTCTGTTTTCATCACCACTGAGGAAAATACTAACTTGCTTGGCTCCATTGCTTCCTTACACATTACATGTGTAATAATATATCCCTGATTACATAGTCTTGCAATTTTTAATATAGAGAAATACAAAAGTGCCTTGTTTACTAACAAATACAGTAAAAATACTGTAAAACAGAAATAAATTGTAAAAAAACAAAAAAACACAGTAAATAAATAAGAAATGCTTTTTATGTAACCACAGAAAGCTACTGGCATAGAAATTCATACCAACTACAGATCATTTCCTTACTACTCAGTGAAGGTACAGCTTGTATTTGTGGTCTTTTGTATTTCTTTATTTCTCAAATGCTATTTAAAAAACATAAACAATCAAATGACCTGAAGTTGCACATATTTCAAGTAAAAAACAGATTCAGAACAGGTTCCCGTTGTGATCTGCATGCGAGAAAAGGAAAAACGCTGGATAAGATGGTTTGCGGTATTTTTTCTCGAAAACACAACATATTACTGAAATAATCAATCAAAAATAGTTTTCCGCTGCACATATTTTAACTGTGATGATTTTGGATCAATCCTTGCACAATGACTGATCTCGTCTTTTGTTTCCTCAGGTTACGTCAGTGATTATCTAAGTCCTAATCCTTATGATGAAGTTGTTGGAAGTGAGTCATCAGTCATCTCTAAAGTGCCCTCTCCGAGTCACTCATCAATCATCTATGGCCACATTAACAACACCTATTCAGGTATTCATGGTGACATCCATGGGGACTCAGACCAGCCGGACAGTCCGAGGTCTGAGGTCTCATCTTCAGCAGGCGGGTACATTAACGGAGATGCAGCTGTGAGTGAAGGATACACAGTAGATGCATTCTTCATCATGGATGGACGATCGAGAAGGAAGGTTGCAACAAACCCTAGAGGAGCCTCTCAAAGGCACACATGCAGTGAGTGCGGCAAAACCTACGCCACGTCCTCCAACCTAAGCCGACACAAGCAGACACACAGAAGCATTGATAGCAAGATGGCCAAAAAGTGCCCCACATGTGGAAAAGTGTATGTCTCCATGCCCGCCATGGCCATGCACTTGCTCACCCATGATCTCAAGCACAAATGCGACGTATGCGGAAAAGCTTTCAGCCGACCGTGGCTGTTACAGGGTCACATGCGTTCGCACACTGGAGAGAAGCCGTTCGGATGTGCACACTGTGGGAAAGCTTTTGCTGATCGTTCAAACCTGCGCGCCCACATGCAGACTCATTCAGCCTTTAAGCATTACAAGTGCAAGCGGTGCAACAAGACGTTTGCACTCAAGAGTTACCTGAACAAGCACTATGAGTCTGCATGCTTTAAGGGGGCTTTTTCCCCGATGAGCTCACTGAGTGAATAAGGAATTCAGAAAGCACATCTAGAATTTATTTACTTAACTTACATCTGATTTCTTCTGCTTTACCCCAAATGATGAACCGGAGTACAACAAAGAAGGAGTTTTTTTCTCTTATTTCAAACCCCCCAGTTATTCTTATTTCATGGTTTATTGAAAAGTTTGAAAGAACTTCAAATGATTTATTTCACAATGAGGTTCTGTTGAGTAAACAGAGCACAGCACATCTAGGGCTTCATATTTTGAAGAAACCTAGATGTATTTATGTCCATATCAATCCACGTCAATTTTTTCTAGCCATGATGAAATAACACAAAAGCACAATTGCTCCTCCATGTCTTTGTCTTTCTTAAGAGTTTATATGATCAAGCACAGAAACCAATCTCTTGCAGAGTTTCATCAAAACAAATTATTTTCAGCTTTTCTTTGATACAAAGCTGAGGATGCTTCTTGTATCTTATTTTTAGTGAGGCTGACTCTGACTGACTTTCAAGAAAATACATGCAATTCAGAAGAAAATATAGATTCAGCTTTTTAAAAGGAAATATTATAAACAGGTACATCTCAGTTTAATAGAAGTGAAACTCATATAGTAGAATGGTCCCTTTCTAATTGTTTAGAGGACAATCATTGGTATCCAGAGTATGCTACAGAAAGAGGCCCGCTGTTCACAGAAAGTTTTATCCGGACATATTGGCAGAAAACTGAATGGATGGAAAAAGGGCAGCCTTTGCAAAGTCATTAATTATTCTTTACTTTCAGAGCCAACTCAAACAGATTTAATCATGACAATATGAACTAAAGTGAACACTTGAAATCCACCATATCATTTCATTCTATTATTCAAATAGTTATTCCAGCCACTGCCAAGTATCTAGGCACGCAGACACCTTCTACCCATGTACTACCATAATAGGATGTCAGCAGTGTGGTAAGCCCAGTCTTGAAATTTCCTCACAATAAAACAGCAGCGTAATTCAAGCCATGATGTAAAGCACACAATTACTGGACTATAGAGCAGTGTTCACTGTAGTTGTGGATTTTGTCTCTTTGTGTGTCAATCAATGGACTAGTCTGAGTTTGGTATTTTTCTCAGCCCCAGGAACTATTAATGCTTGAGCATTTCATGACATTTTGGACAATTTATTACCACTATCTTTATAACAAAGGATCAGAAAATAAATCCTGTAATTATATAGATGTTGAATGTTTGATATGGAATAACTTGGTAAGCCTGACTGAAATCTTAAAGGAAATCTGTTCAATATAACTTTCCCTTCTCCAACACCAGTAGCTACTGTAAACCCATAAACTCCTGAAGGTATGGTCAAATTTTCTGGTAAACACTGGGAAACCTTACTAACAGAAGCTGTTTAACTGTGAAAAGTTGGTTAAGAAAAGGTTGAGGAGCAAAACAAAAAAAACAAAACAAAAACAAACAGTTTGTTTAACTCTTTGTGATGAATCAATATTATATATGAGTTTCACTTTCCAAACTGGATGACCAGAAGCAATTACTTTTGAATTTCCATGATTTTTTTCCCCAATTTATTCAGATCCACTTGTAATACTCTACACTATTTTTATACCACACCTTCATCTGTAATAATCCTTAAACTATGATAAACAGTAAAAAAACACTCCTAAGGTTAATTTATTTATTTGTACGGCATTTTGTTGACCTTGATTTGAGGCTGACTTTCTAGTTAAATACGATCAGCACCCAATAAGCCATCAGTGTACTCGAAAACAAAGTCTTCTTTTGGATTACATTAATGTTAAGATTATTTAATTATTTAGGCATAATTTTTTCAAAAGAAATGTAGGCATTAAAAATGTCTGTTGTTCCCTTAATAAGGTTAAACCTTTTCCACTTTCTAACATGATGAATTTAGAGCAACTCAGTTTTAGTCTTGTGTGTTTATGTGTGCCTATTTATTTATTTGATTGCTTATTTATGTATTTATTGATCCGTTCATTCATATATTTTGTATTATTTTGCACTTTATTACAGTATTTTTGCCTTTGTTACAAATATGCCAAAGCATTTGACACTTTTTAAACTCTGGCTACCTTTTTATGTTTGCCACTTTAAGTATACAAAACCTTTGCATGCAAAAAGAATTAAAGAAACTATGCTGATTTCAAGATTTTTTTAATCTATATTTTGCCAAACTTAGATAACAGGCAAATTAAAAATATGATCTGTCATGGGCAATATTCCTTCACATCCAACAAAGCAATAATGCATGATGTTTAAAGAAGCGTTAGTCATAACTGCTTATAATTTTATTTTCTTTTTTTAGCATTTAACCACTTGTATTCTACAATGTTGCAAGAAATGACATTTCAGGGAGTTAGCAAAAAGGTATTGAATAATTGATGGGTTGGGATGAGAGCTCTAAATTTACAGGAACTGTGCGTCTGTTGTGATTCCTGGGAGAACTTTCTGAACTTATTTTGGATTGCAAACTGTTTAATATTTACAGTAAGACCGGAGTGAATATACCATTTTTAAAATATTTAATCTCTGATACAAAGCCTGCTCTCCAGAATGAAATCCAAGTATCGTTAACTTATCGATGACATCTGTGTTATTATAAGATTTTAAGCACTACTAGGATTCACACACATGAATCAGCTCCTTTATTTGGAGAGCTCTGGGTTGGGCGGATCATTTTGTACATGGTTTATGCACTGCCTGCCTTGTATTATTAATCTAAGATATTGTAGAAAGTAGAAGGTAGATCTCTGGTGCTGAAACATAAATTAAACTTTTCCATGTGTTATCAGGTTTATTATCCCAAGTGTTAATATGTTTTTTATTGGGATTTTTTATTATAGAACAACATAAAGCAGCATGTAGAGAGCTTCATACGTGGGAATTTTTGAAAAACATCTTTGATTTGGGCTCAGTGTATTTTACAACCACCTTTTGCTCACATAAAAATTATAAAAAAAAAAAACATTTGCGTCTTTCTGACCTACAATTGCATATTAAATTCAGTCATTCTGGACTCAGAGAAATGAAGAGCCTTTTTTAAGTTTGGCAATCGATATCAGATTTATTTTGGCTGGTCAATTATTTAGCCATTGTAACTTGGACCTTAATCTAAGTTATTCCATTGCTCTATATCTGAGGTGGAGTGGTGTTGGGTCAGGGTTGGTAGGTTGAGGGCAAAGTTGTACTTTCAGGAAGTGGAACTTTATCTGACTTTTAATCTTGTGCACCTTTTTAACAAGTTCACTGAAATGATTTCCCTGTTTTGTTTTTAGCTTCATCCATCTTCCAAATTGAACAAGCTTAATTTTTCCTGCCTCAGAAATAGTGGGATTTCATTAAGGACATGCTGTGAAGTATCTGTCATAGCAGTTACAGTAACCTATAGGCTGAAAAAGCACAATTTCATCTCATCTGACAAAATTTGAGTTTTTAAATATTTTGCTTTCAACACTCTTCAATAATGTGCAGATGAGCAGAGTGATACTGATCCTCCTCCGGTGCTCTCACTTGAGATGCGAATATCCACCATTACCTTGAGCCACATGGCTGCTTATTATACCTCCTCAGGTTGATCTGCTTATGTACAGTAGCTGACCATGTCATTGTAGGTCTGTTGATGTACTACCTCTTTCTTTTTTGATCTTGATAAAGCTGCTTGGTCAATAATGTTTTCTAACAATCTCCGAGATCGATTTCACACTGCTAGATTCAAGGCAGCTAACGAGGCAACATTTGACTCTGTGATATTTTATTTTGGTTAAGACGTATCAGAATTAAGAAGGCTGAATACAAATGCATGCCACACTTATCAGATTTTGATTTGTAAAACTATGGTAAAACCAAGGGCGGCACAGTGAAACATTTTTTAGCACTGTTGCTTTGCAACAAAAAGTTCCTGGTTTCACGTCCTGGCCTGAAGTCTTTCTGCATGGAGTTTGCATGTTCTCCTTGTGCATGCATAGGTTCTCTCTGGGTATTCCAGATTCCTCCCACAGTCCAAAACAACATGACTGTTAAATTAATTGGCATCTCTGAATTGCCCTTAGGTGTGAACCTGCAAAGGACTGGTAACCTGTTACAGTTACTGTTACTGTACTCTGCCTTTTGCCCATTGACTACTGGAGATAGGCACCAGCCAACCTTGACCCAGGTGGATGAGCAACAGAAGTTGGATGATTGTTAAAACCATGTGAAATGTCTTCCATTTTATCTTCCAATTACACACAATTTAATATTTTTCCTATTACATGAAATCCCAATAGAAAATATTGAAGTTTGCAGTGGACAAAATGTCAACAGGTTCAAGTGTTGAAAACACCTTTGAAAGGCACTGTATTTACAAAAACTGCATTTAACTTTAAGATTTTAGATCAGTCTTTGTAACTTTTAGACAGTAACATGCTGTTTTCAGTTTACTAAAGGGCCTCGCTGTTTAACAGAACCACAGAAAGGTTACATATGGTCAATATTTCAGCACCAGAGAGCATCTGAACACTTAGACTCTACTATGGATTACTGTAGCCTAATATAGCCACAAGGTAGTTAAACTATTCTTATATAAAAGCACTTCCTCTTACAAATTATATCTCACAACTCTTTTTGAGTCAGAAATAGTAGCACATTGAAAACTTTTAGATTCAGGTAGAAAACAAGCCTTTTATGTAGAATGAATAACCTCCTTCTCCATTTTTTATTGTGATGAAGAAAATGCTAAAAGAACCTACTGAAAACACAGAGGATGTACTGTCCTTCAAGTAAACGTTAAACAAAAAAGTGACACTTCCAGTATGCGGAATGCTGTGCCATTTTTGGAAATACTTCTAAAAGCTTCGACTCGACACATTTTTTTAAGAGCAAACAAGAATGCATCTATTTTGCAGCTAAAGGCCTTGTACATATGAACTTATGTGACTTTGGAGTCGGACTATTTCTACAGATCTGTACAGTTAGGATGATGATGAAGATGATGATGACTATTTTTACTGAAGCTTCCAGTTATGAGTTCTTCCGCCGAGGTTTGTTTAGACCTCCAAATGAGTTTGTGATTATGTAAAGCACAATAAAAACACGCAAAAATTGGTTTCACTTCCTAAATAAAGGCTACTTTAAAGCAGTGGAGTGTGAGGTGTTTTCATACCGAGTTGTGTGTCATCCCTAATTCTCTTGCATTTAAAGTTAACCCCTCTGGTTTTCGAGAAGGAAAACAGATCTGGGAGCTTAGGCACCAAGAAAGGGAAGTTGACTTATTTTCCGGGGAGCAATGTATGTTGATGTTATGTTTGAATCGTTGTTCTGCAAAATGAGAACTAAATCTCTATACGAAGAGCGTTCTCAGACTGCGTTTTGATATCTTTCAATATTCAGAGCTATGAGCGCTACTGTTTCACCTCACAATCCATCACATCCATCCATGACCTTATCTGTCCTCACATTTACAACACTACACAGACCTCGTTAACGGGTAGCTGGGGATACATCAGGAGGGCATTAAAATCATTGTGCTGCAGTGTGCAGATTTTCAGTTTTTGGGTTAGCGTCTTGAGTCATCTTCACCGCTGCCTCTCAATCACACCGATCTTTATTCCTTGCTGTCATCTGTACTTTCAAGATGGCAAACTATTACGGTTCGAAAATAGGGGATTAGCCTTATGTATAAACAAAAATAAACATTTTTGCTAATGAAAAATCTGTATATGAATGTTCGTGGGTAATAGTACACCAATAATAATTATGTAAATGTGGTCATAGATTTCAGGCAGTAAAAAGGTCCCTTTAATATAATTAGCCTGCAATTACGAGAAAATATTTAAAAAGATTTTTTCCAGATTATAGCTTTGGGGAGCTCTACTAGAGTCAAAATCCCAGTTTTGAGTGTGTCTGGGTGCGTAGGTTTTTACATTCAGGTCTCTTCTTGAGAAAGTGCTATAGGAAATACTTCCTCTGTGGTAATATGTGTAGTGTAAACGCCCACACTGTACATGCTTCTTTGCTAAATTATTTAGGAAATATATTTAGTATTTTATTTACCAGAGTTATAAGCAATTTATTTCAGTTAACATTTCAGATAAATCTAGGCATTGGTTATGATTTAAAGACAAGTGGCGGTGTATGGTTTTAAAATATAAGTGTTTTAATCACTTGAGTTTTGAATACTGTTATTCGATATCTTCCTACTGATTGGTTTTCTCTGCTCACATACAGAAATAGTCAAGATGTCTAGGCACATTATGATATGTATAAAACATTTCCTAAAGGATTAAAAGAACAGACAGTCTATAGGTAAAATAAAGAGTAGCTACCAGCGCATCTGACCTAAAGAAATCAATATTCACATTAACTAAATTAAATTATTTAGCTCATGTGTAAGATTCTTATATGTTACTTTTGTTTTGGGTTAAAGAAAGAAAATTACGTGCATCCGCTTTCCTACTTTAT